CCCCTTGCAGGGCAGAGAAACAAAGGTTTAGCCATCTTTTCCATGAGGATCCCAGCCAAGAAAACCCTGCGGGGCAGTTCTACTCTGTAATACTTGCAGCCACCTTGAGTTGAACTGTCCCCCCCACCCCTCACCAGTAGCAATGGGCGCGGTGTTTGGCTTAGGCGAGGAAGGAGCTCGAAGCAGATGCTTAAGCTCCTACCTGCTTCTTTGTACGGTCCAAAGAGCCTTCATTCGATAGAGAAGAAACTCACAGCGCAACAGGGACTAGAGGTCAACCAGGAAACCCTGGACTCACATAGAACATGATCTGGTCATAAAGGTTGCTGCCCACCGACATCTTTGGGGTGGCTTTGTTGATGCCCACGAGCTCCCACTCTCCCTGGGTCTGAATGATGTCACGTGACGTGTCTGTGATCTCCCACACTTCCTTTTCCATGCCCAGTAGCAAGCTTTCCACTGCAAGGGAGAGCTAGTCAGCTCCGTCCAGAAGTGCTCCCCGGCTTCCCACCCATCCGATTTGATTCCGCCCACATTAAGCTTCCCCAACAAATGCTTCCCTTTTCTCCTTTCCAAGCAGGGCATCCAGGGTTTTATCAGAAGAGGATTCTAGGACCAGCAATGCCTATGTATGAGGGCTACAGCCTTAATATTTTATTGTGGTTGTGGTTGTTAAAAACTAGAGCGAGTCAACATTTTTATGGGGATTTGGGGAATGGCGCCAACATGAGTCAAGAACATTTGGAATCCTTCTTGTCCTTCCCCAGTTGGATGCAGTTGTTTTAGTGGAATCACACGTGAACAGCTCAGCATTTTAAATTATGGACGTGCCACGGTAAGGATGAACTTATTCAAACCTGCCCCAGGACAGCTGGTGGCATTTTGTTGACTGGCTTAAGTTCAGTAACTATTCAAGTTGAAAGGTTTGTGCTCAAAATGATAGATGGGCAGCAACTCAGGGTCAGGTGGGCCGCATTTGGTACAAAGGGCCATCCAAGATCTAAAGCTGTCATCCTCAACCCTGGCTTCCTGTTAGTACCAGCTGGGGAGATGTAAAAAAAAGACTAACAATGCCCGGGCCTCATCTTGGCACAAATACTTTGGAATCCCTGAGATGACCTGCAGTGATAGGCATTTTAAAAAGCACTTTAGTAGACACCCAAATTGAGGAACAGGGGCCTCAGCCCTTCCCTGACAATCCCTGCACCCGTTAAATATCTTCTCCTGAGTCGTAAGTAGCTACCCAAGGGCGTCACACTCACCGGTGTAGAGGAACGAGCTGAAGGTGAGTGTGCAGTTCTGCTGGTCAAAGGGGAAGTAGAAGATGTCCAGGTTACAGATGCTGGTCACCCGCATTGGCTTGTCGTACTTGATTCGGCCCGCACTGCTGACGTATGCGGTGAGGTGCGGAGGTGTCTGATTGATGTCCATGCTGCATGTGGAAAGGAGGGAGAGGTGGGTGCTGTGGGTGCCTTAGCTAGCTTTTGTCTGACAGGGCTCTCCTTCTGGGCTCTTCGTCTAATCTCACGGTGCCTTGCTTATTCTACTTCTTGCCGTGTGTTGTGAAGATGAATGACTGCAGGCAGTGCCCCTGTCGGACGCCACCTCTGAGAGGCCCTGTGCCCTGCACCGACACTGTCCCCTGCAGATGGAACTCCACCCTGGTTTCCCTCAGCCCAGATACGCACGATTCCACGATGAAGATATCTGGGAGCCACAGGAGTTCGGCTGAGATGGTGAGTGTGTCGATGCCAAAGCACTCTTCCGGGTTCCAGTTGATGAATGGGTTGTCCCATATCTGCAGCCAGAGCAGTGAGGAAGAAAGGGGAGTGGGGATGGAGCTGGTGCAGCCAGCCTCTCCTGACCTTTCCATTCTTCTCTAAACCCAGAGAACCCCGTGCCCACTGGGGTCTTAAGTGGTCACAGCTGTCTCCCCCTCTTTAGCTAGCAAGATGCCACCACTGAAGTCCCTCTTGATGGGCTTATTTTCAGGCCGACCTTCAGGGTCTACTAAAATGACTTGGAGCCAGGCACATCCAATAGATTGTTCCACACTCCGTTAGCCATGGCCATGGTCTTGGATCTCCACTCCTTCTGTGGCTGCCTGCGGAGATGTGTGACTCTAGGATACAAACAAGGGCTGCCAGTTCAGTTCTCACACCAAACTCTCTGGCATGGCGTCGATGTGGACTCGTAGGGTCCCTGTAGGACAGGGTAGCACTGCCCCTGGGGGCCTCGGAGACTGTGCATCTTTATGGGAGTAGAAAGCCTCCTCTTTCTCCCCCGGAGTGGCCGGTAGTTTCAAACTGCTAATCTGTTGATTGGCAGCCCAAAGCATAGCCACACTACACGCCCAGGGTGCCTCTGTCCAGTTGTGGATGGAGTTAGTATACTGTACCAGAAAGGAAGATGTATCCGTCTATGAAAGGGTTGGACTAGAAAAGCCCGAAGCCTCTTCTAACTCCTCCAATTGAGAATTTCAGATGAACGTGGGGATGGGGTGGTTGAGTCAGCCTTACCAAATCCATCCACAGGAATGATGTCAGCAGCTGCAGCTGGGCATTCTAACAAAGAAACTCCCATTCAGAGTGATCAGCGCAGAAAGACTCAGGCCTAGCCCGCCTCACATCCTCACATGTACTGTGCTGGACAGGAATCTAGACTTGGGACTACCCCTTTCTGACTGGTTCCCCAGGACGTTAAGGACAATTGAGGGTGTGTTTTTTTTGTTTGTTTGTTTTTTGACAATTGAGGTTGTAATGAACAAAACCAAACTTTTTTTTTTTTGGGGGGGTACTATTTTTCCTGGAATCTTCTAGAAAGGGAAAGATTCGAGGACATGTAAAACCATTACTGCAGCCTTCCTCTTTCGGTCTCCTCACCCCACAGGATGAAGCACTGTCTTGTAGAAACTCCATCTAGAGGGCCCATTGCTCACGTCTGGACCAGCACCATGCTGGGTTGACGGGGCAGAGGGCTGCTGCTCTGTATGAGAAGACTATGCCCATGGGGGGAGCGGGAGACAGGTCTTACCACTTCTAGGATGGCAGAAAGGGTGAAGGAGACGTTGACATGCGTGGGGCTGCTGGAGTTGAGGATGGGACGGAAGGCCTTTCTGGCAAACACGGCTTGGAAGGCAGCAGGGTCCACTCCATGCCGGTCAAACCCTGAGCAGTTGATCATGAAAGTGTCCCCTCTTCCTGTAGAGAGCAGAAAGCCTGTGAGATGGGACCAGGGCCCTCTGTGCTCCCTCTGTGAGAAATGACAGAGCTAGAGTCTGGGAGGGGGTGGGGACCACAGAGAGCCCAGGAGGGCACTGGGAGAGGCAAGGAAATCCCTTCTTCCTGGGTAAAACCCTTCCTGCCGGGATCAGGAGGATAGGCTGGGCTGGTAGGCAAATGGTGGGAGCTGATGGAGTGAGCTGGGTCAGTCTTCTATCCTCCCTTCCATGGTTTCATCCTCAGGCAAATTCTGCTCCAATCTGTATGCAAACTTGGCTTTGGTTCCAAAGAGTCTTCAAGGAGTCTCCTTTTATTTTTTTGAATCATTTTATTGGGGGCTCATGCAACTCTTATCACAATCCATATATACATCAATTGTGGCAAGCACATTTGTACATTCGTTGCCCTCATCAGTCTCAAAAATTTGCTCTCCACTTAAGCCCTTGGTCAAGGAGTCTCCTTAAATGTATCCAACACAAGCCTCTTAGGCCCATCTAGGACTGATAGCACTTAGCACGGCCCTAAAACTTGTAGCCCAATATCCTCTTCAAAGAATTCCATCTACTGAAAGGGGACAACTATTTTATCAAGAGGTAACAGAATTAAACAGCTATACTTAGTAGGTAGCTAGGAGAAGCATGCTGTAGGTGTTTTGAATGGGTGCTTGTCTATGAATTTGTTTTTGCTCTTCTCAGATTTAGTGACCTCAGATATCTTGAGGGTTATTTTCAGCTCAGCATTAGGATCAAGCAGCCTGTCATCAAGTAAATGGCCATAAGCCAATCACATAGCAAGGTCTAGGCAGGTGTTGTGTCTTGGCCATGGCCAGGGCGCCTTGTGTGGGACACCGGAGCAGATTCTTAGCCTGTAATCATCTTTGTCTGGTCTTTTTCTCTGCCACTTCCTCAACATCCTCTCTTTCCATAAAGTCTACAAGATGTACCCAGACTGGGAACTGATGTCTCCTCATAGAACATAAGCTCCTTTCGATCTCAGATTGATCCTCAAACTCTCAATATCTCATTTGATTCTTCAGAGTAGGTTTAAAATTGATACTGTTCTTATAGCACTCTTACTCTTCATATTGACAGAAGAGAATTGGTGAGGGTTAGATCAGGGATGTGGGTGAAGGGACAGAGGGAGTCAATGACCGGGGAATTGGAGAGATGATGACAGGACAGTTTGATAGGTACCTATTCAGACAGGAATAGAGAATGGTGGTTGATCAGTAAATACCTTCCTACCACCAATAGGAAGGCAAGACAGACATTGTGGAAGAATATTGACCACATTACTTCTGAATGCTCTCTCCATGCTACAGGGGACCACCTGGGCGTCCTGTAGCCTCCCCCCCCCCCACTGCCCCTCCTGTCTTCCCTGTTACTGCCCCATCTTACCTTGAACCAGAAGGCTGATCATGAGGCAGAGGAGGTGTCCCCTCAGAAGAGGCCACCCACTGTCCATCTTCTGCTTCTGGACTCTTCTCTGGGGCTTCACCAGGAGCCCCAAAACTCTTGAGCTTAAAGCAGCTTGGACCACGCCTTAGTTCCTAGTTTTGAATACTGCTCCTGTCAGGTGATCATTCCCAGGTGAGAGGAGGTGGCCAGAGAGAGCACAGGAAAGCATCAGCTTGACTTTGCAGCCTCCAGGCAGGGAGCAAGTTGGACCAAGCATTCTGTGTGGCAGCTCTATGCCAAGGTCATTAGCAAAGAGTTTGGACTAGCCGAATGAGGGCTGTGCTTTTCTGAGACCTGGGAATCTACCGCTACGCAAAGGTGGTCATCTTTGAAAACACCCAATGATGGAGTTAGTGGATCTCGTCACCTTCTATTACTTTCTTTCCCCCAACAACCCTGAACAGGATTTCCTCTGTTCAGTGGCTCTTCCTTTCTGATTCTTTTACCCAAACCAATGTCTTCTATGAGGTGAGAAATTGAGGCAAGAAGCTGCTCACAGTGCACTGTGGACCCGCTCTCTTTCCTCTAGGCCTGTCCACTTGGAGCAGGGCCCTGGGAAGCCCTGGTGCCCCGCCGAATGGCATGATCCCGAGACCCCACTCCCACAAGCACTGGCAGCGGTGTGTGTCCACATGGGTCAACCAGCGGGGATGGGGGTTGGGGGTTGGAGGGAAGATCCTCAGGCTCAAGGCCCAACGAGCCACAGCTGCCGCATCACTCTACGGAGGCCCCATCCGGCCCATCATGTGCTGCCCCACTGTGTGTTATCACACCAAAGTTCATGCTGGCCGCGGGCTTCAGCCTGGAAGAGCCTGAGGGTGGCTGGCATCCACAAGACGGTGGCCTGCATCCTCTGCACCCCAGGAGGTGGAACAAGCCCACCGAGTCCTGAAGGAGTACCACCCCAAGCGCATCCTCTTCCCCAGGAAGCCCTCGGGCCCCCCAAGAAGGGAGGCAGCTCTGCGGAGGAACTCAAACGGGCCACGCAGCTGGCTGGACCTGTGACGCCCATCGAACGTCTACAGGGAGGAGAAAGCCGGGGTCCTCACGGAAGAAAAGAAGGTCTTCGAGACCTGCCCTAGCCTCCCCATGGCCCGCTCCAATGCCCAGCTCTTTGGGTTCTGAACAAAAAAGGCCAAGGAGGCAGCAGAGCTGGATGAAGGAGAGGCGTGTCTCCCAGGGACTTAAAGACACCCCCACCCCACCCCACCCCTCCACCCCAACAAAGGTAATTGGCTTGAACCTTTCTAGGGGAATCGGAATCTCCAGTGTGCGATCCAGATCTCCCAGGTGCTGCTGTGGTTGCCCGTTGCTGTTGCAACCCCATCTCCTTGCTGGTGAGCACTAGCACAGTGAGTACTTCTGTGTATGGCGGGCGTCCTGGTAACTGTTCCACCATCTTGCTCTCCTCCATCTTCCCTAAGTCCTAAGCTATGGATATGGGATAAGAACATATTGGGGGCGGGGCGGG